CCCCCCGTGAGCGTAGGCCCTAGGCTAACCCTCTGCTACGGAATGCCTATAAAGATATTGTCGTAAGGCGGTGGCCGGGCGGCCGCATAGCGGTCGTGGGTCGCGCAAGTATGTTCACCAAACTTGTGAGAGCGCTGAGATCAATAGGGTACATTCCGCTTTCAAGACGATCAGCGCCCGTGTATCCACTCTGGCGGCTGTCAGACGGTCTCTGTACGTCCTGTTTGGGCGCGACGTAACTGTAATGAGTTACTGGGTGGGGGTGTCGGCGGCTTGTCTGTGCCGCCGCAGATGTAGGTGGAGTCGCCCCGGCACGCCATACGCCCCGCGGAACGCCCCACCCCGTCCCACTCCGGCACGCCTTCTCCGTGCGAGCGTTGTTATTAAGGCCAGGTGAGCAGCGGCGCGGGGCCATCGCTGCCCGTCAAAGGCCGCCCCTCCGCCCGCTCCTCCGCCCCCGCTTCAGTTCCGGGCACGCTCTCACATTGCACAGGACACCAGAGCAGGGCTCCAAACACGCCGGCGTGATGTGCAGTGTGTGTGCCTGTTGTTGTGTGGTTGTGATATGGCGGGCTTTAGGTCTGTCCATAATGATCTCGTGTTATGTCTTTGAACTGAACTATGTAAGCCCGCCGTGCCTCCCACTAGTTCCTTCTAGCCGAGGTCTGGAAGTTACTGTATGAGTCAGCAGGCACTATCAGATCATCTAATCTGCCTTTATGTCCTTTCGCCTCGCCTGCCATGGCTTCTTGTTATCCCCCCCCCCCCTAATTTGGATGAATCAACAATTTTTTAAACCACACACGCACATACCAAAAAGCCATAAAAACCTGCCACCGCTTGTTGCGGCCTGCCCTGTGTTATTGCAGGGAAGAGAGTGGGGAGGAGAGGGGCACTTTAGTAGAGACTGTCTTCTAGGGGAATGTCTAAAAACCTCTGCCTGATGAAGCCCGTCTACTTATATACCAGGTGGCTGACTCACGCCTCGCACTTGTGTAGTTATACTGTACCGCATGCGCGCGTGCGTGCGGGTTGCCCACTCGCACGGGGCCATAAGGAGCCTTGGGCAGCAAGGATAGCCAAACCCACGCGCACTCGCGCATGCGGTTCAGTATAACTACGAAATAAGTGCGCGGCGTCGTGAGTCAGCCACGTGGTACAACCACTCCTCTTCTGCTTTCGCAAGATTGTGCCATTTACCCAAATTTCGGCCGGAAAAGGCAACCTTTCATGTTTCTTGCTGCGTCGGTTCGCGATGGGGCTCCACTCCGACACCAGCGGTAACCAAACGGGCGGTGGCAAGAGCACGCGACGAGTTCTTGATCTTCAAATATGTACTCGGGGTGTTTGTCTCGCCTCTCTGCCGCTCGTCGTCGCAGGGAAAGGCAAAAAGAGGAGAATTTCTATTCCTCTCTCAGCTGCTTCCCTTCTCGAGCTCGCTATATGCCCCCCTCGGGCCCCATGCACGCGCCGTGCACACCGCCGCCCTCGTGGAAAGAATCTCCCCCGACGTAAGCCGGCCCTCAGTGCCCCCCCCCCCTCTAATACCAGCCGTCCCCTCGATACAGCCATATCGCCGGGTCCTGAACGACCCCACTGCGGTGAAAACACGCCCCCCTCCCCCCCAACCCATCTTTCCGATCGTCACGTATGCAGCCTCTCTCGTACATTTGGCGCCGCGCGGTGCATCCATGTCGTGGTGTGTTCCCAGTACATACGTAACTACGGAAAAACACCGATCGGCCAGGGTTGTTGTTTTTGCTGCTCCTTTTTCGCTCGAAGCCGTTATGGAAATATGTTTCCTGCATACTTCCTGGTGTAACATCACCAACCCTCACGCCAATGCGATGGAAATAAGCGAGAATCGAGTTCACTTTGTTGTGTGAATAGAACCGACTCCACTTGTCTCTCTTGATCTCATTGCGCATTTGGTTAGGATCTCCATCATGGACGGAGGAATGGAGAGGAAGACAAGACATCGGGGAGGGGGAGTGGTCACAGTAATATAGAGCCTTTTAACCGTATCCGTTGTACCATTTGATTTTGCACGAGCCGGAATGTCCTCCTTGATTGAAATTCATCGGGAGGGGCCGTGCCGTCCGCAGTCTGATGGATGAGAGCCTCCCCCCCCTCCCCC